CGTCAAAGTTTTTTTCCTGCACGCAGCTGAGAGACTCCACTTTTCAAGATGCTTCCTCCATCTTCTCTAGAGAAGGACCCAAATTTCTGTGGGCCATGGATTTGAATCTGGCTGGGACGTCTCCCAACGGCCTGGTTTTGTTCAAACGCCGTACATTTGCATGATAAAACACGAAACAAAATCACTATTTCTAATCTTCCGTGCTTTTTAAAACTAGCAGCATTCGCGCTGAGGTGGATTGCAATCTATTATTAGTTGTTCAAGTCTGTTGTTCTGCACCAAGAGGCATAGAAAAAAAAGAAAGAGAAGAGAGGAAAAAAAAGAAATATTCTCTTTGGCTGGTGCTTCCTCAAAACCTCCCAGAAAAACAGTCTCTCGCAGTCAATGCGAAGTCTTTTAAAAGCAGCTGCATTTTGTGTAACTTGTAGCAACAAGCCACATCTCAGTCCATCAAGTTCTGGTTGACACAACAGAGAATGCCCTGGAGAAAAACACACACACACACACACACCATCCCTGAATTAGAATCCTAAAATACAGCTTATTGGATTTAAAAAAAATCACAGGGTGCTTCAGAATCATCCTTCGACTTCAGAGGTAGGATTTTAAGAAGGTGTAGGAAAAAAAAAACCGAATTAATTCAACGGCACTAACGGCAGGAATTTGTAAAACGTTCCGAGGAACAGTGTTTTAAAAGCAAGGCAAGATCCCCCCGCGTAATGCATCACAGAATCTTCTCCTTCAGAATTCAAAAAAAGCCGGATTCCGGGCCAAGGTGTAAGGGGGCATCACGTTTGATCAAGCCAGCATCATTCTTTGCCTTTAAAAAGACCCCGTCCTTGGTCCTTCAGAACCCAGAAATGGTCATGACTTGGAAGAAAACCGTAAACTCCATTCCGGACCGGGAAAACGTCTCCAAAGAGGTCATAAGAAAAACGGGATGCGGGAAGATACGGTTTTGCATCCGGTGGAGGAAAAGATTTTTTCCTCGTTGGGAAAATAGGAAAAGCTGCCGGCTACTCCGTCCACGACCTCCGGGTGAGGGAGGAGACCCTGGCCGGCCATCTCGTTGACCACGCACTGCTTCACGTGGTGCTGTCGCAACGGGAGGAAGGGCACCAAGACGTCGATCAAGTTTTGCTCAAGGATCCCGGATTTCCAGAATCCGTCTGAAAGAGACGAGAAAAAGGACGAGGGTGAAACTGTTAACGTTACAGGCGGGGGGGGGACCCCGAATTTCTACGTATCTATGTTTGCTTCGAGGTCAGTTAGATTAAGGCAGTGGATCATAACCTTTTCTTGACCACGGGATCCCCTTTAAATGCCTTTTGTGGCCCTGAACCGTGACCGCGGATCCCCCAAGACTTAATTCGAGATTTAAAATGGTGACATTGCAGACTCCTCGTGATGACATTGTGCCCTCGCCCAAGGATCTGTGGAGAATGGCTGCAGGATTTGGGAATGGCTGGTCTAGAGAAAAGAAGGACTAGGGGGGACATGATAGCAGTATGCCAGTATTTGAGGGGCTGCCAAAAAGAGGAGGGGGTCAATTTATTTTTCAAAGCACCAGAAGCCAAGAAACAACGGATGGAAACTAATCAAGGAGAGAAGCAGCCTGGAATTAAGGAGAAACTTCCTAACAGTGAAGACTATTAACCAGAGGAACAGCTTGCCACCAGAAGCTGTGGGTGCTCCATCACTGGAGGCTTTTAAGAAGAGACAGGACAGCCATTTGACTGAAATGATACAGGGACTCCTGCTTGAGCAGGGGGCTGGACTAGAAGACCTCAAAGGTCCCTTCTTCAATTTTCACAATGTTTTTCCTAAGCGCGCACGCAAATAAGGGACAGTTTTCGACAAAACAGGTTGCAAAAGACAGTCAATGTAACGGCAAAACATGGCCGAGAGAACAAAGTCCGGTCATGTGAATTCACCCCACGTTGAGAACCACTGGATTAAGGTCATCTTGGCCACTCCAATTTTACCAAACCGGACGCTGAGTTGCCGAATGCCGAAACGGGCATAGAGACAGTCTTCAACTTACGACTGATTGCTTAATGACTGTTTGAAGACACGACCTCCCTGAAAAAGCGAGGACTTACAGGCCGGATCCAAAGTTTGGGTAGCCAGGTTTCCACCCGCTCCTCCTCCTTCCCCCCCCCAATAGTCATTTAGGGTTCGGCACTTACATTGACTTGTGTTTTGCCATGTTTTTGTCGAAATCCATTATTTAATTTGCGTTCAATACTTACGACCGCCATGTCTGCTTCAAAAATGTGGTGAAATTGGGTGGCTCAGGGGATTGACCCATTTTATTAACCCTAATGGGCAGGGTCCATCATGGTTGTATGCCGAGGACTACCTCAATTCATTGCGGATTGGTGTTTTTTCTCCCTCTGCCCTTTATTTGGGGAAGTTTTGTAGATAGCCAACGTCCCACCAAAGTGTTCCTCTTTTTCTCCCCTCCTTCCGAAGATAACTCACTTTGCGGGTCTTTAGAAATGGCCTCCAAAATCGACGCTTCCAGATCCTGACGACTGATCTCCTCGCGGTCTCTGCGGTCCCGCCAGAGGTCCAAAGCCATCCGGTTAATCTGCTCCGTGCCCGTATTGCTAAAGACGGTCAGAGGAGAGCAGCTGAAGCTCAGCAGTACTACATCTCCCATATCTTACTGGTTTATTGAATACACGATGTGATATAGGCCAGGGCTTTTCAACCAGTGGTACGGGTACCACCTGTGGTACATTGGCACCTGGCAGGTGGTACGCAACCATCTTAGAAAAGTGAACCGGTGGCAGCACCACACAAGCCTGAGCGAGAGATGGCTGGAGCTGCAGGGCTGTCAGGGCTCAGTGGAAGCGCCAGGATCAGCGCCAGGATCCAGCTGGAGCTCAGCGCTGATCCTGGTGCTTCTGTTGAGCCCAGAAGAAGCGCCGATCAGCTGGAATGTTGTAGCCTCTCCAGGGTCTTGTGATTTACATTCAGATGCTTGGCAAGTGATTCATATTTATGACGGTCACAGTGTCCCAGGGTCATGTGAAGTGACCAAAACCTGCTGCAACCACCCAGCAGATGGGGGGAATAAAAACCAAACACCCCCACCCCACCCCCGCTGCCAATCCTCAACAGAAATGCTCACAACAATGAAAACCTCGGACAGGAGGAAGAGCGCCACTGGGTGGGCAGGCAGGTGTCTTGCTCGGCTGTGGCTTGGGGGGTATTTTTTTCAGTGTCATTGTAAATTCGAACAGTCACTAAGCGAACTGTTGTAAGTTGAGGACTACCTGTAGTTCATCACTTTTTTCCTTTCTTTTTTGGGTCATCAAGTTTTTGACACCTTGCTAGGCGACTGGTGGTACTCGGATGTTGCCATATCCTAAAAGTGGTACAATGGGTGAAAAGCCCTGATATAGGCCAGGGGTCTCCAACCTTGCCAACTTTTAAGACTTGTGGACTTCAACTCCCAGAATTCTGGGAGTTAAAGTTCACAAGTCTTACAGTTGGCAAGGTTGGAGACCCCCAGTATAGGCGAAGGAAAACTAACTCTAAAATCCCAAGACGTCTAACCAAAGCATCTAACAACAAGGACCTCCCAGATGTCCACGTAGACCATGTAAACGCCTTCTCATTTTGAGAACCATCTGCTATCTTCTTCACAGTGGTTAGAATGCCCTTGAAAAGTTTCCAGGCATCTTTGTGCAGAGAAGGGCAACAAAGAGGATTAGGGGGATGGAGGCTGAAACCTATAAAGAGCGGTTGCGGGAATTGGGTACGTCTAGTCTTAACAAAGAGAAGGACCGGGAGGGACATGATAGCAGTGTTCCAGTATCTCAGGGGCTGCCCCAAAGAAGAGGGAGTCAAGCAGGACAAGAAGCAACGGATGGAAACTCATCGAGGAGAGAAGCAACCTGGAACTAAGGAGAAATTTCCTGAGAGTTAGAACAATGAACCAGTGGAAAGAACTTGCCTCCAGAAGTTGTGAATGCTCCAATATTGGAAGCTTTTAAGAAGAGACTGGACAATCATTTGTCTGAAATGGTATAGGGTTTCCTGCCTGAGCAGGGGGTTGGACTAGAAGACCTCCAAGGTCCCCTCCAAGTCTGTTATTCTATTCTATTCTATTCTATTCTACAATCTATTCTATTCTTATTTCTTATTCTATTCTATTATTTCTTATTCTATTCTATTATTTCTTATTCTATTCTATTCTATTCTATTATTTCTTATTCTGTTCTGTTCTATTCTATTCTATAATCTATTATATTTATTTCTTATTCTATTCTATTCTATTCTTTCTTATTCTGTTCTATTCTATTCTACAATCTATTCTATTCTTATTCCTTATTCTATTCTATTCTATTCTACTTTATTCTTTCTTATTCTGTTCTATTCTATTCTACAATCTATTCTGTTCTGTTCTATTCTATTCTATTCTACAATTTATTCTATTATTTCTTATT